GTATGAAATATAACAAAGAGTGAAAAATTTAAGGGGGTCTGAATACTTTCCGTACCCACTGTATATATATTTTTTTTTTTCCACAGTAAAGGCCCTTACAACTGACAGCCTTACACTACACCCACTAAATGTCTGTCACACGTGTAGAAATGTTTAACACTATATCAAAAAATATACATTTATGTTTGCTGAAGTGAGACCCAAGGTATGCAAACTTTTACAGATGTTGCTGTTGTAGCACCCCAATGGCAAACTAATAAATCTGTAAAATTAGTAGTTCAACCCATGACTCTTATAATAGTAGTGTTGGTAATAGACATAGAGATTATGGTTGATGGTTGACTTTTTGGCAAGGAAGCTTGAGGTGACGTGATGCAATGTGTTTTTGTATGATTCATCCATAATTTCCAGAGATGACTGGACTGAAATAGAATTAGAAAAAATACGTTTGGTTGTGGTACCTGGGAAGACTTCACTGAGGTTGACAGGAGGTTTGTTGGTGTCCACAGTGATCTTGTACTTGGCATTTTTGATAGCTGAGGAGGGGTAGCACACTAACCGAAGAGGCAGGTTGAATTTACACTGAGATACTCGAGGGATTCCTGACAGAGTGAGCGCAAACACAAAGACAAGTCATTACACAAAAGACAAGAACCACTCAAACACACACTGAACTGTAAAAAGTTTCATCTTCAGACTAGTCTTCAAAAATTTCTGCCAAAATTGACTGAACAAGTCTTATTGGAAATAAGGATGAGGCAGAGGAGACTCTCTGAGAGTTTGAAGAAAAGAATATAAGATCAGTGCTGCTGAAAAAATAAACAAGTACCTATGTACTGTTCACAAACACATGGGATCATTATATGTTGAGTAGATGAGTGCATCAGGAGTTTCAGTAATGCTTTCCTGTTATTTTTGTTAAGGTAATCTAAACCTGTACTGTAGGGGCATGCGCCACTGATCTAATGTCATACTTGAGAGCAGGGTTTCATTTCAGCTTGGTTCTGAACATCATTTCTGAATGTGCTTTGAGTCTACCTTGCAGTTGGGAAGCCACTGTGCTAGGTACACTTTAATTTATATATTCACATAATTTCCAACATTTTTGTGGGCAGAGGTTGACAGCATTTCAATATTCCGCCAAAATAAAAGCTTGAATTTGAAATGTTAAAATCTTGAGGTTTTGAATGTGAAGAATTTAAGAATCACAACTTGATGTAATTTTTTTTTTTATATAATATATCACATTTATTTTTTCTGTCTTCATTTTTTTGGGGGGGGCAAGTCACACAGCCCTACGCAGTACATAAAAACAACTTAATAAATACACACTTACTAAAAAAAAAGATTAAATATTTTATCGGTTTACTTGCATGTTTTGACCATTAACCGACATCAGAAAACTGTGAACATGCGAATGTGTTGTTAAATTATTGAAATATTAACTTAAAATCTCAAAGTTTATATCTAAGAGATTTGGATTACAAAAAAGTTTTGGAACCACTACTTTAGAGCAAAGAAGGACATGACATACTCACTTTCCTGTCTGTCAGATGGGAAATAAAAACACCTGCATGATGCTGTCACCCCCTACCCCCTACTGGACACATCAACTACTGCAGTGAATGTGTATTAGAAATGCCCAGTGCTTTGTGTGTATATTTATGAACATGTTTGCATATTAAAGTGTTTGCCTACAGCTGAACATATGCAGTCACATCTGATGATAGGAAACATATATCCTGTTCTGAGGTCCTTTCTGTCACTCACCTGCAGGGTTGAGCTCTGACATGGGTGGCAGCAAGAAAGAGGAGCAGAATATCTGAATTACACATTCACACTGACACATGAATCATACTACAGAGGAGCAGTCAGGGGTGACTGTAGTACAGAAAAAAAAAACTGATACAGTAATATACAGTAGTATCATACAGTTCCATAGTATATAAACATTCAAATTGAAAGAAACAGAAGACAAACATCCACAAATAAAAATACAGTTAAAACAGTACTAGTGAGAAATATTATTACAATTTTAAAAAATGGGGCAAAATATTTAAAAGAAAAAAAAAAAATAATAATACATTTATTTAGCAAGGATGCATAAAATTGATCTAAAGTGGCAGTAAAGAAATTTATAATATTACAATATTATATTAAATAAATGCTGTTCTAGATTCTTTTGATGAATTTCTATTCATCAGTCATGGCTAAAAATTCAGTTTTGCCCTCATAGGAATAAATTATATTTTTTTATATTTGTTTAATGGCATCTTTTTTTATGACTGAAGGCCAGTATCAGGGAAAAACTGTAAAAGATCTAACCGGCCATTTCATGTAATTTTACAATAAAATGCTGTTAATTATACAATTTTTAAAAGAGGACAGTCGATCGCCAGGAGCAGGGTTGGGCACCCCTGCTGTAGAAGATTTGTCGCTTCGCGCCACTTCCCGTAATGGGTTCTCTTGGTGTAGACACTGCTTTAGATACAGATTAATCGGCTGATTAATCACACATTTTAGGCTGGAAATATCCAGAATTAGATCAAACAAAAGGTGTCCATGGGAACAGAGCTAGTGAAACACACATGCCACGCATTATAGCCTAAAACATGTTTAATATTTGCGAGTCGACTGACAACAACGATTGTATGCGGCTATGCAATCGAGATGCGTTCACTGTCAAATATCATTCAGCATTCATTTTGAAATTTTGTCAAATATTTTTTCTTTTACAAGAAAAAGAAAACTATTGTTCTTGTTGTGATTTATTTCTTTGTTTTTCATTTAATTCATAAGTTAACACTGCAAATTAAACGGTTTCATTTTTTTCTGCAGTCGAAGAAAGTAGCCTAAATTATGTCCGTGGTTTCTCTCATTTTAAAGATGATCAAGAATTATTTTTTTCCGATCTGCAGTCTAACAAAAGTTAAGAAAATTAGCCGATAGATCTATAATCTATTCTCATATCTAATCTAATTTCATTCTTTCTTAACTTTTAACTTCTTCTTAAAGGGGTCATATGATGCTTTTTTAAAGATCATTATTTTGTGTATTTGGTGTAACAGAATATGTTGACATGCTTTAATGTTCAAAAAACACATTATTTTTCAAATACTGGAACGACATGAGGGTGAGTAATTAATGACAGAATTTTAATTTTTGGGTGAACTAACCCTTTAATGGCTGAAAATTTAGCTTTGCCCTCCTAGGAAGAAATTACAACCTACATTTTATTTAAAGAGAAAACATTTCTTTTAAATTGTAATAATATTTCACAATGTTTTACTGTATTTTAAAATATATATATTTTTTAATTCTCTCGTTTTAGAGTGAAATCTGACCTGGGCCTGTTTTCGTGAGATTCATCCAAAAAGCTTTTACTGAAATCAATGATAGCTCTTGAACTGAATGCTTCTGACCAGCAGAACACTTTATGAAATATGACCTATAAGCTGGAAGTGTTTGAGATACACCGCTGCTTCCAGGTCTAAATGTAGCATTAGTCTCCCCTCAGAGTTCCCGCTCCATTTGTGTAAAGCTCAAGTTGTCTCTGTGTAAACACCAACGACCCTCTGACAAAAACTCACCATAACCAGCTAACCTCATCTTCCATGTCAGCAGCGAATGCTCTGTTTACTTAAAGAGAGGAATAGCCATTACTGCCCAGAAAAGGCACTTCAAGTGGTGGCTGCATCAGTCATCTAAACCACGCTCCCAAAAACACGCTCTGCATTCCACATGTTCTCAAGCGCTATCCCTGCTGTTACTACACAAATACTGCTCCATCTACGCCACATAGACAGTCTTTTCTGTGTGAGAAATCTTCAGAATGGAAAACAATTGAATAATTCTGCAGGATGCTTACTGGAGGTTTCTGCAGTTCCGAGCAGGTCATACCTCTTTAGTTTAACAAGAATGTAATTGAATAGTAAATGGAAAATGAGACAATGTGACCAACATTGTAACACTTTGTGAAAATCCACCTTAATATCCACATCTCCCAGTGTTAGTTAGCGGAATACAATTTTATAAACTTTAAAAATGCACTATTTTAAGAGTATTTACTCTCATCACTATGAATAGAAAGCACTAAACAAGCTGCCATTGTTCTAAAAATCTTAAAATTGTATAAAAGATGCAAACACAAATCTGTGTATATATCTTGCCTATAGTACTGCACAGTAAAGTTTAGTTTAGTTTGCAACATTGTTGTCACATGGCCTCAAGATGTTGCATGTTCAATTCAGTGAGTAACATCCATTTATCTCAGAAATGTAATATTCCATGTTTAAAACTTTTATGTTGGCAGTCCAATCAAATATACAAGCAAACAAGGTGTTGTGGATGATATTACTTCTGGTGGACGGCAACAGTAGTATACTGCTCTGAAAACATCCTCACTATGTCTTGATCCAGATTTGAGTGCTTTAAATGCATTTAGACTATTTTGGGGGGATGCGTTTATTGTCAGTAAGGGTCTGAACATGAAAGCAATGAAGGCTGGATTAAAACCTTCAAAGCGCTACAATTAACCTTTGTGTGTTATGTGTGTGTGAGTGTGTTTTTAGGTGTGGAAGGAGCAAGTGATTAGGACAGTAATTACAGGCTTGCACGGGCGACACACACACACAAATTCTTCCCATTCCGCACAAGCATCTCCAATGCAGAATTACTCCAGTGCTCAGTACACACACGCTTACATGCATAAAATGTTTAACTTATATCACAAATATCATATAAAACCAGATTCACAAAATATTCTTACCTCCTATTTTCTTATTTTTTTCTAACCTAAGAATAAAGTTAAGAATATTTTGTATTCCCAAAAGCAAGAAGAACATTCTAAAACGGAATTCCTGAATTCTATGAATTTGAATTTCTGAAAAGAATGTTCTTAAAAATCATCATAACCTTAAAGTTAGAATGTCCCACAACTTGTCTTAAATCCCCAAAGGTACACAGGCCTTCCACTCTTTGAGTTCTCTCCAGTGCTGGAAAGCTGATCCGATATTTACACGGGTCCTACTTCTTGCCTTATTGCCTTAAGCCTTCGTTTGTTCCGCAGATGTTTTCCTCTTTTGTTTTTTATCCGCCATCTCTATCTATCTTTCTGTCGCTCGGCTCGGACTGAATGCTCTCTCCTCCACATCATGAGTAGAAACACCCCTTACTGCTGATTGGCTAAAAGTTTGTTTTGCTATTCGGCCCGAATCAGTTTTCTAAAGCGTTTTTGAAAAATCGCTTACCCTGCCTTTAATGAACTTATTAGGTTTCAAATATTAAGTATTACAACATAACAAGTATTGTTACATATGATACATACTAATACTACTCTAAAGCCTTTAAGGTGTTGTGTTGATTGAGTTGATTAAGCCTGTCATTTTCTTTCTTAAGAAAAAAAGGTCACAATTTATTTTAAGGTCCAATTCTCACTATTAACAAATTATTAACTACGACTTTTGCCTCAATAAACTCCTAATTACAGCTTATTAATAGTTAGTAGGGTAGTTGTTAAGTTTACGTATTGGGATTAGGGATGTAGAATATGTTCATTCAGAATATGTGCTTTATCAGTACTGTAACGGGGTGAAGAATCACACGACAAGTAATCTCAATCAATAGCCCGGAGGGTGGATTTATTGAGGTGATGGGTGATAGTGAGAAAGGTCCAGGTAGGATGAGGCAGCGATAATACCCCGCCCACCCTAGAAAGGCTCGTACCTGGGTCTTGGTCTCGGGTCTCGGAGCGGAGCGTACCGCCTCCACCTTCTTCTCCTGCGGCCGAATGAGACCCCGTCCCACCTGGAAACCCAGGTACTTCGCCTCGGAGAGGGCAAGGTGGCATTTGCGAGGGTTGGCGGTGAGTCCAGCCCTCCGGAGCTCCGAGAGCACCCTCCGTAACCGGTCCAGGTGGTCTTCCCATGCCTCGGAGTGGATCACGACGTCGTCCAGATAGGCCGCGGCGTAGGCCTGATGGGGCCGCAACAGGATGTCCATCATCCGCTGGAACGTAGCGGGTGCCCCGTGGAGGCCAAAAGGAAGGGTCCGGTACTGCCAGTGGCCACTAGGGGTAGAGAAAGCAGTCTTAGGTTTGGCATTCTCAGAGAGGGGTACCTGCCAGTAGCCTTTGGTGAGGTCCAACGTAGAGATATACCGGGCCCTTCCCAGCCGGTCCAACAGTTCATCCACCCGAGGCATGGGGTATCCGTCGAACTCGGATACCTCGTTGAGGCGACGGAAGTCGTTGCAGAAACGGAGGGTGCCGTCCGGTTTCGGGACAATCACGATGGGGCTGGCCCATGGGCTGCGTGATGGTTCTATCACCCCCAACTTCAGCATCTGTTGAATTTCCTCCTCAATAGCTCGACGACGAGCCTCAGGGACGCAGTAGGGCCGTTGCCTAACGACGACCCCTGGCGGCGTCCGGATGTCGTGCTGCAGAACATTGGTCCGCCCGGGAAGAGAGGAGAACACATCAGAGAACTGACCGACCAGGTGCTGCAGCTCCCTCTTCTGGGCAGCCGAGAGGTGGGGGTTGACGTCAACAACCACGGGATCAGAGATGGCGAGGGCCGCAAGCTGGTCTCTAGTCCCCCTCCACTTCTTCAGGAGGTTAATGTGGTAGAGCTGCTCGGCTCTTGATGATGATGGCCAGGTGCTCCTCGCTTGTTTCCAGGGCGACGCTGATGAAGCTTCGGGACGCTCGTCACAGTACTAATAAACAGCCAATATGTTATTAAAAGGCATGCTAATAAGCAATTAGTTAACAGTGAGATTTGGTCCCAATACAAAAGTGTTACAGAAAAAAAAAAAAAATATATGAGAAATTTTTTTTTTAAAGAATTGGAAGGATTGCTTATAAAGAATTGCTTATAAACATTCTTACAAACTTCTCAGAATTTATCTTAAGAAATTAACTTTTTAACAAGATTTTGGATGACCCAGATCCTTAGTTCCTGTTATTGCATATACAAATTCCCATCATAGAGAGTGTGTGTGTGTGTAATAGCACAAACAGTTTGTACAGTATAAAAACCATTACGCCTATGGAATGTCCCCACAATTCACAAAAACAAACATGTGTGTGTGTGTGTGTGTGTGTGTGTGTGTGAGAGAGAGAGAGAGAGAGAGAGAGAGAGAGAAAGAAAGAGGGGAACAGAAAGAGTAAAAGAAACTGAGTGCCATTACAGCCAACACAGTGAGTGGGGTTTCCCCCAGGCCTGTGTGTGTGTTTTATTCTAAAAAGTCATTATAATTAGCTTTATACTATGCTGAATATTATAGGGAATATTAAACACTGTTTAGTATAGCACTATTTTATATTTTACAGTAAATTGACTTAGTTGCTAAAGTTTGGACACAATGTTCCCCCAATAAGTTGGCTAAATATGACAAAACCTCATAGCGTTAGGGTTTGGGTTAGTCTTTAGTCATTCTAATTAGCTTCATCTAAAAACAATAGAAGTCTATGGTATGTCCCTATTTAAAAAAGCTAGACAAGCATGTGTGCGTGTGCAGTCCCATGTACCAGCGAGCTAATGTGTAAAACAGACTCTATTTTCAGAAGGACAGAAAGAAAAAGAGAGCCAGAGAAAAGGGAAACTCCCGGATATTTTCAGGAAGTTTTCCAGCAGTCTCTGCCAACACAGACACCATCCAAGAGAAACGCCAGGACAAACGCAACCTTTCTGCTGCTTTTTCTGCTTTGGCAAACATCCAGACATCTTGAAATGAGTAAAAGGGCTTAAAGAAGTGAGGAAAGAGGGTAATGTGTTCCAGAGCTGAGAGATGGAATCAGACAAACAGAGCGTGGGAGTGTTCATGAGGAGCTCATACCTGTAGCTGATCTGTAGGACACGGCGATATCTCCACACAAATCCGCTGGAGGATAGTGGCCGTTCAGAAACACTGAGAATCTCACTACTAACTCACAGCCACTGCCTGTCAAACAAACAAGACAAATAACATATAATTTGGTATTAAGGCATGCCGATAGGTGTGTTCTGTGAGATATTACATTTTATATTAATGTGGCAAGTTGCTACTAACCATTACAACAACTGTAAACAGCCGACTGTTAATGAATTATATTGGCAGAAGAATTAATTATTCTGATTACTGGGTTATTTCACATGCAAATAATTAACGCAATGCAAAGAATATTAATGATCCTAAAAACATACTTAATAATTGTTATACATTATATTTCTCAATTTTTATCTTTGATTTTGGAGTTAAATAGAAATATATTCCACCTTACTAACGAGAATGTTCTTATTTCCAATTACACTTTTTATAGAAGATAGTTGTGACTCTTCTTATCTGAGGAGCTATATTAAAAGTTGTTATAAAATTCTACACATTCTATTAATGCATTAAAGGGTTAGTTCACCCAAAAATGAAAATTAGCCCACAAATTACTCACCCTCAAGTCATCCTAGGTGTATATGACTTTCATTTTTCAGACGAATCTAGTCGGAATTATATAAAAAATTGTCTTTGATCTTTCAAGCTGTTTAACGGCACTCAGCGGGTGTTGCATGCATCAGTCCAAAAGAAGTTAAATAAAAAGCGCCCATCCATAAAAAAAAAAAAAGTGTTTCTCACACGGCTCCGGGGCGTGAACAAAGGCCTTCTGTAGCGAATCGATGCATTTTTGTAAAAAAAATATCCATATTCAAAATGTAATAATCACTTTAATGTAGCTTGCGCCAACAGTCCTACACGGAAGCAGCTCCGTGCGGATGACGTATGGAGGTCAGCTTTGCGCATGCGCCGCTCAGAAGTGATGCACACGGAAGCACGGGGGAGAGATCAAAACAAAACAAAACTTATTAGAAGTACAAAACGAGGATTTGTAAAGAAAACAGCTTGAAAGATCAAAAACAATTTTTAATATAACTCCGACTGGATTCGTCTGAAAGAAGAAAGTCATATACACCTAGGATGACTTGAGGGTGAGGAATTTGTGGGCTAATTTTCATTTTTGGGTGAACTAACCCTTTAATGCAACACCTTCCTACGTTGCAACCTGTAAATAATATACACTTAACACAAATGAACTACAACACTTGAAGAGAACACTCATTGTCTGTGGTAGAATCACTTTAGGAGCTTAGATCTTTAATTTATTTGAACATTCATATCATCATTATTGCTCCGGCTGCAATTTTTGAAACGTAAGAATTATGGCTACATGTTTTAAGGAAAAATGTAACTATGTTTTTTCTGAAAAAAAAATGAAAACAAAAACAGAAATATTACTATTGTAATATTCACTATAAAATAATATAAATGAGTATTTAAGATGAATAATAATTACTATTTATTTTGCATTTTATAGAACACTTTTTTTATAGTAAACTAATATTTATGGCTGTTTTAATTCCTTAATTTCAAAACCTTTAAAATGTTTACATTAGTGGAAAACTGCAGGGAAACCTTAAAGCGTTCTTTTGTTGACAACAGCTGGTTTATAAGTGCTTCTCATTATAAGTTGAAGTGGAAGATGGTTGGCGCATGTTGCCTTTCCAAATGCACATTATCAGCGACCCAAACTCAGAGCAGATTGTGTGCACCAGCAATTTACTGTGAACCGAGCCACTCTGAGAGACTGAACACACCAGATCAGGAGTAATTCATGTGTAAATAATCACAGTTCCGCACTTCACTCTGAAACTTGCAGCATATATTTATTTAATCAAATCACAGCCTTTGTGATTTGATAAATCACACTAATCAGTTTAATTTCGATTCATCATGCAGCCCTACCAGAAATCCCCTAAAAGCTGTGCATTAGAGTGATTTTACCACAGTTAACAAGGCTCCTTAATGCAGAGCCAATGGCTTTATCATTTCTTTAATTGGTTTGTGTTTTATCTCTGTCTTTAGTAATGTGATCTGTTTCAAGTCTAGTGTTTTGTGTGTCCACAGTGAGTTGCATTCACACAGGTGACTGAACCGCGGTAATGCTTGATTGCCGAGCACTTAGATTAAGTGTTTGGCCCCCCAGTACACACACACACACACACACACACACCGTCTGGCTGTCACTCACACACTCTCTCTGTCTGTGCTCCTATCAGCTCATCGGGCGGCAGCACTTTCTATGTGCTTTAAAAGCTCTCTCTCTCTGGGAGGGCAGGCTTTTAACCTTTCCATCTCACAAACAGTAGACCATCAGGCTCTCTTGTCCTGTGCACGACACACAAGCTCAGCCGCCATGCTGTTGGCGTCAGTTTGAGCTGGCAGTAAGCGTGACACCCGTTTTTTAAACTGTGTAGAATCTAGGTGGTTAAATTAAGGCCATTTGTGCTGACCTCTCTTGACCTGAGCTGACAGTAACCCACCCCTGGAATTCATGACATGCATTAGAAACACAGCATGCAGAACACACACAGCACAAAAGCACTTAGATAAGAATTCCTTTGACAAAAGCAGCTAAATGCACTGTGAGTGTCTGTTGTGAGGATTATAGGGGGCTGTTCTAAGGGTCTTTGACCTTTAGGGCATGTGTGAGTTCTGCCCTCTCAGCACTTACACTCAATTTTGATCTGGTAAGCTGAGGTCATGGCCATAATGTAGTGGTAGGTTTATGTCTTCATGCATTATCACAGTAAATGCAAACTGACCAAAGATCTAAAGACCGGACCTTCTGAATAGTTCTGCTTAAATACATGAAAAGGGTGATTCAAAAACATTGTTGGTCAGTGTACTGGCTAGTTTAAGGTATCGGCAAGGCTAGCTGCCCATGCTGACGAGATGAAACTTCACAACCTGGATGGAATTATTTATTGTATCTGTAGCCCTATTCGGATGGGACTAGTTTTCTGAATGATGTTTGAGTTGCAATTCTTATTACCCAGTGCACCGATTCAAACAGGACTTACATCTCAGTGTTTACAGTGTTACAGAGGTAGTCTGATTTTTATAGATGTGGGCGTTACAGAGGCTCTGGTTGCCTGCATCATGCATGACTTACATGTCTTTTAAATAATTATTTCCATGTATTATAAAAGTCTTATTTAAACTTCACATGAGATTATAGAAGTGGCTGCTTATAATAAACCCACATAACTGAGCTGAACTGAAGTCTACACATGAATCTTACCTGACACTGACATGGCCAGTTTTAGAATTTTCCACGATTTGGCTCTACTTAATTCATGTTATTATAGGCCTATCGCTTTTTCCTCAAATACATCCATATTGAAACGTGCAGCATCCAAAAGATTAGTGCGTAAACATTAGCTCAGTTTAGTCCAAAAAAAATAAATCAATAAAACAACCCCAGAAGAACGCATTGGGATAATATAATATCAGCAATTGCCCTATTCGGAGGGGAGTACTTTTCTAAACAACGTTTGAGTTACAATTCTTATCCCCCGATGTTTATGATTTCACGTACTGATTCGGACGGGACTAGCATCTCCATGTTTGTAACAGCATCACATATAACGTTTATGTCTTTTAATGAAATATGTGTTTTTGATATAATTTTAATTTATAAAACCTTCAGTGTTTCCCACGGAGTTGCACTCTATTTGTGGCGGCATATATATATATATATATATGTGCAAATTCATTCTCTGCCAGCAGGAGGCGCTTAGAGCGGGAGAAATAGAGGTTTCCCGGTAACGGCTGTACACAAAGCAGGGCTCCTCTCATAAATGCTGCTTTATCAGACTTTACATGCTAAGTGAAATGAAAATGACTATGACATCCAAAATTTTCTGAAGACAGTCGGTTTCCTTCAGAAATACAGTGATATAAAAACACCCGCACCGGGTTTCGATTTTGAAACGTGCATTGCTCATGTTTATTCAACGAAGTCAAAGCCTTTTGGAAAATCTATTTGTGGCATCAGTTTGATATTGTGGCACAAATAAATCAATGTATGGGAAACACTGACCTTATTTTTTTAAATTCACACAAGTTTATAGAAGTGGCTGATTATAATAAACCCACTGTCCAAACTGTGAATGAATTATACACAAAGGCAAGCAAAAAGCACTCCCTTTATGATCACTGAAGCTGTCGATCACTTCAGCTCAGCAAAAATCACTCTCAGAAACAAAACTGTCATTATAGCCAAAGTAGCTGAATACACTGCACAAAGAATCTCTTATTTATATTCTGTGTATAGTTTTTGGTTATGATGAGGAGATTCGAGAGTGTGCAGTAAGCTTTCGCTGAACGGATTCTGAGCAGAACTAACTTTAACACCTCTGATTGGCCATTGTGTTCACATGCTTATTGGCTACATTGCACAAAGCTGCTAAACACATTGTAAATAAAAACCTTAAATGCTCTTTAGAGCTTATTTGAAAGAAGACACCTAAGAGTAGGTACTGAATGGGTTTTGTACTATCGTTAATGCAAAAAGTCTTGTCTTGTCACATTTTTACAATTTAAATACATGTGACAATTTTTTACGATTTAAAAAAAGAAATTCTTTACCATTTAAAAACATTTTTACAATTTAAATATGGTAACTTTTCAAAACACTAATTTGCAATAAAGACATTTATCACTTCATCACAAAAAGCCTGATTAAGGCATGTGCAAATAATGATGTTTTGGAAAAAGTACTGTAAAAAGGGATCCAAAAGAGTGAGTGATGTGGCACATGGTCTCCATCCATCCACTTCTCAGGTCTCAACTCCACCTGAACTGTCCATCACAGCTGATGAGGCTAAGAGCGGTCTGTCAGTCACAGCTGATCTAACCCTCTCTTACTGAAGAGGACGCATGGAGTTTCCAAACTGAGCACACACTGAGCTCCACTCAAGAGACACAAGAGAGATACAGTCATGTGCTGGTGATCTGAGAAACAAACACTGCTAATTAAGCCAATGCTTACCAGTCACAATGGGCAATTCTGCTGTTATTTATTCATTCTATCCCATTCTCTTCCATTTTAAGACAAATAATATGTAACC